GTGTTGAGATGTGAACATGAAGAATAAGCCGGGTAGCTGTTAAGGGTCTTTCAAAAATTTGCCTCCCACATAAGAAAAAGGTAAAGCATCTTATTTCTTCCACAGAAATGGAAATAGGAGAATGCTGTCAATAAAGTGCTGCTTTGGACATATCTACTGACTTAATTTTCATACGCATGATATAAGATTTTTAGAAGAACATTCAAAGATCACATGCATTCATAATTTTTTTCTGTCATTTTTATATACTATTTTTTTCGTACTTTGAAGTCTTTGATCACATTGAAAAGAAACGCTTGTGAGTAAAATAAAATATAATGTGAACTTAATTGGTTATGAATATAGAATAACTTTCACATTCCTAAACATTGCATTTTACTCTTACTTTCTCTATTTTTAAGCAACAGGTTTGGTTTTCTTTTGTATAAGTTTTGGAGATTATGAAGGTTTGACCTACCTTTCCTTTTTATACATCCCTGAGTACAAAGATTTGCGTTAGCAAAAATCACTGTTCTTAAGCATGCATTAGAACCTCAAATTATGTGAAATACTTTGATAAAAATGAAACTTCCAGATAATTAACTTTAAGTTATATGATGGCTGTTGAGTAAAAATTGTGCATACATGATTAACAACGATATGTGGCGTGTGTATATGTATACAAAGCACATTGTATATTCTTACCTTCTGTCACAAAATATATATCAAAGAATCCAGCTTTCCCCTTATGAGTGTCCTAGCTTCACTAATTGACATTTATTGGATCAGTCACTCAATGTCTTCTATGGGTCAGGCACCCTCTAGACACTAAAGGCTCAAGAGTAACCAAGATACACTTATTTGCATAAGTTTATGCCTCACCTTCTAAGTGGAATGCAGCTTTTTGAAAGGTGGAATAATGTTGTTTATTATATTTTTAGCTCTACGGGGAGGGGCTGGCATGTGGAGAGATAGAGCAAAAGTTTAAAAAAGCAGCAAGAACTCAAGGGCATGGACAACCGTGCAGTGTTTGTGGGACAGGAAGAGGGTAGGTGGAGGTTGAAGAAAGCAGTATGGGGGGACAACTGTTAATGAAAAAATACAATAAAATAAAAAATAAATGAAAAATAATAATAAATACAATAGAATATTTTCATGATGTACCACTATGACTTGAACATAGCAGGTATGTAATAGAGCTATATTTCCCATTGTTCTTATGGAACTTTTCTTTAAAAAAATATGCCTGGCTTGTTTAGATTCAAGCTTTCTTTGAATAGTGACTTTTGTTATGTCTTTCCTTACTTTGCTATTCTACTCACGCTGCTTCTTTGCTAATAAAGTTCTGATTCAGTATAACAATAAATTTAGGTTTTGCATGATTCTAATGCTAGAAGAGCAAAAGCTGGAGCAAATAAACAAATGGAGAACTTAGTTTTCACCTTTCGGAGGTGGTAAGTGTTTAAGCATTTCATGCTTCCACTTATAGAATCTCTACTTTTATTAGGTAGCCTTGATTCTTACTCTGTTTGTCATTCTTAGTTCTATTAAAGATCATTCACTCAGCACATATTTAATGAGTTCTTACTATCCACTCATTACTAGAGATACAAAGAGAGTAAGGCACAGTCCCTACACTCAATAAGCTCACAACTTTTTTAAGAGACAAACTGACAAATGATAAATATAGTGACAGAGACAGAGTGGTCAGGGAAAATTTAGGAAGAAGGTTGAGCCTCGTAAGAGTGTTTAATGGAACTAGAAGGTAAGCTGAGTAGAAAGGATCAAACCCAGAGAGGGTGGCAGAAGGAAAGACAAAGAGGCAATCAGTAGCACCCCTGCCTTCAAAATTACCCACAGGCTCTGCTCATGAGGCACAAATGAAAAGAAACAAAGATGGAGTCAGGCCATGGAGTGTCTCCTGTGCCATGTCAAGAAGCCTGGGCTTTTTCTTGCAGGGGACAGAAGGTCATGATCAGGTTCTAAGAAGAAAGTAATGTTGCCCGACTTGTTTTTTTTGTATCAGTCAATATGGTAGCCATGAGAAGGGAGGCAGCTGAGCCATCTGGGGTCAAAGGCAGGGCGGGAAATTGCGAGTGCACTTTAGCGGCTGAGGTAAGAGATGCTGAGACCCTGAACGATGACATTTGAAAACATAAGGAGAACAACCCATCATAACTTATGACTGGATAGTTGCAGGACATGAGGAGACTGGAGTTAAGTCTGGATTGCTTTATGGGGGAAAATAAGAAGTGGACTATTCTCTACCAAAGATCAGAGAAAGTTAAAGTATGCTTTAAGAGAAGATAGTTAATAAAACACATAGGCTTAGGAAAATTTTCTTGTTATCCTGATTTTACATTCTATAGGGAATTTAACACAGAGGAATGCTTCCCATTGAGCCATGCAAATTCTTAGGGTTCATTTTTATGCTCACTTTTTTCTAGTGGCTTTTTGTATTCTCACCGCCACGTTTTATTCTGGAATCCTTACTTGTCCCTGCTTCTTTAAAATAAATCCTTAGTTTCACTCTCTCCTCTTATGTTTTGATCCGTCTGAATTCCTGGTCCGGTCTCTTGGGTCATCTTTGCCTCCACTGCATGGCCTGACCGCCCCTCTAATTCCCTGCAGGCCTTCGAGAACCCCACCTGGTTCCAGGGCCCTGAGATCATGCCCTTCAGTGAAGGGGACTTGGATTTAATATAAATTCGATAACCCAACAGAGATAAAGCAAAGCATATGGATAGATTTAAAAACAAACAAACATACTACTTTTTTAAAATACAAAAAAGGTGGATTTATATTCCCCAAAGCACAAAGATTTATATATTCCTAGACGATGGAGGACATTGTAGAGAAAATGGGCTAATCATTAGCATAGCAGTTATTTAGTTCCTTTTATTGTCAAAACTCTTACCTGATATCTTAAGACTTTTCAAAAAAAAAAGCACAAAAAATATATATAACTTTTAGTGGATGAAGAATATTAAGAATGGTTAAAATTGGGAGGGCTATTAGTTGGAATGAAAATATTTATTAAGTGTTTAATACATAGAACATGTACAAGAAATTTCAAGAAAAGTATAAAACAAATGCCCTTTGCTTTTAAGGAATTTCAAGACAAAAGTGGAGAAAACAACTATAAAAAAATAGCGATAACAGAGAGAATGGATAAGGAGCACCCCAGATTTATAGGCTCAACGCGTGGTTGGAGGCACCGAGAAGAGTGAGCAGATCCAGTCAGTCTAAAGAACAAACGGACAGTGACCAGAGGGGACAGGGATAATGGGGGAAAGAAGCGGAAGGAGCAAGTCAAGGAGCAGGAAGGGAGGACTCATGGGCACGGACAGCGGGGGAGAAAATGACGGTGGGAATGGGGGGGCGCGGAGTAGGGGTGAGCAACAGGGAAAAGGTGGGACAACTGTAAGTGAACAAAAATTTAAAAAAAGAAAAAAGAAAAATCAAGAAGGTATAAATAAAGAAGTATTACTCAACAGGATCTTGCTAACACACGAGACATTTCTGGAGAACATCTGATGCAGGGTGAGAAATTATCACTGAGTTTTGCAGAAACAGCAAGTTGCACATTTGGCCTGAGCCTGCGTGGGAACATGCAGGACATCCGGCAAAGGGAAAGCTGGAGACTCAGCTGGGGTCAGGGCACAGAAGGGCTGTGCTATGAGCCGGAGGTGGCTTTATTTGACTAAATTTGTAATGGAAAGACTGAAAGGTTCAGAGCAGAAAATGATGAGTTTGTATCCAAAAAAAAAAGTTAATGTGGCATCAATGAAGAACAGTAGGGAAAACAAACCAAAGGCTGCAAGATGCTAGCTTTAGAGCAGCTGGTCCCCGTGACTGGCTGAGGTTAGGGGGACCGGGCTGGGAGAGGAGACAGGGCACAGGCGTAGACATATCACCACAAAGAATTGATAGCACTTAGTGAATGAGTAAACGTGCAGAGCAGAGAGCACTTCAAAAAAGGCCCGGCCTTTGATATTCCAAACGCCTTGAGAGAGTGACTCAAACGTTTACAGACAGACTTCAAAAGACACAACGGTTCAGTGTTGAATGATGAGGTTATTTTATTAAGTGACTGACTGCATGTACAGGGCCAGGTGATGTCATGAGGCTTTTAAGGAAATGGAGCTTATGGCAAGAACTTGGAGTACAAACGTACAGAACTGAAGTGTGCAAATAAATAAAAGAGAGTAAGTGTAGGAAGGCAGGAAGTAAAATCAATGGCTCAGTAATGATTCAGTGTTCAAGTCAAGCCCCCAGATTGAGAATGTGTCTCGTTAACAGTTTAAATGTTACCAACAAGGGTTCAAGGGCAAAGGTTTTGCTGATAAACAGCTCATTGATAACTTTCAAGGAAACGATTTTGGTAAAGAAGTAGGGACCACAACACAATGCAATGATTTTATCAGGGATCTTTTGAGAATGTTAGTAGTGAAAGAAAGGAAAAAGAGCAAAGCTGTGTAAGAAATAAGAATAAGGAGAATGTCCTTTCCGTCTAGGGGTGGCCTGAACATCAGTGGCAGGGAGGATATTTGTAGGGGAAAATGGGAGGAACGTGCACATCAAAGAAGTGTTGTAATGAGGTTAAAAGAAATGAATTACTTGCAACAGATGAGGTGCGTCTGTGAGCAGAGGCCAGGGAATGGACAGGGACCACGAACCCGGAAGGGGAGTGGAAATCGAGAAGATGAAGAAACAGTTATGTAAGAACGAGATAAGACAGTGGAGGGTTGGGAAGATAGGGACAATCAGAACACAAAAAGGAATATGAATAGCTAGGGATGCAGAAATAAACAATTCTGAGAATCACGATGAAAACATTTCCCAATGTTTTTAAACAAAAACACAGATACAGGAAAACATAAAAAAAGAAGGGCAAAGAAAGTCTTATTACTTAATTCTGATTTTTTTTTTTAAATAATATTATACCATGGGCTTGAGGATTTCCCATGAGAAAAGAGACAATATTATGTACCAAAGAGGCTCAGGACATTACAGCTTACCTCTCTCAGAGGGTCATTGAGTTCATTGAGAATATTTTCCTCATCAAAGATTTTGCCTTGGTATCTGTGTTCATAGTAATCGTGAATCTTCTGACGCATGTCAGCTGGCAATTTATGGAATGACATATATTGTTCCACTTGCTTGTACTGTAAGGAAAGGAAAAAAGACAATTAGAGACCATTCTTAAGCTGAATGAGAAATCATCAGGTTACTTTGTGCTGTATTCAATAACGCTTAAACAAAAATGAGTGGTTCTTCAAGGAGAAGGAGGTAAGGCACTAGATTGTAATGTCCCTAATCTGGGTCACACACTGTAGAAGGTATTTATTTAGGTAAATGTTTCCTGTAATGAACTGAGATATTATGGAGAGGAAGCATGAAAGGACTTCAGAGTTAACTTAAGGGTAAAGCCCCAGAAAAGCCAGTGATGGGCCAAAAAAAAAAAAAAATAGCTTTTTTTAAAAATTTCATTTTTAGCTGAATTCCAAAAACGTATGAAGTTGCTCTTTGGGTCTTCATCTGGAGAAAGACTCATGTCACTTTGGATTACACAAAATATTTTATCTTAGACCCTGATAAAAGATTGGGCGTAATCAACTTGCGAACATAGAGGCAGAGCACCTGCCAGCTGTTTGCTAGTCCTGGACGCTCAGGAAGCACAGATGCCCTGTAAGGCAGGGGAGATGTCACACTTCAGTGTAGGACGTAGGAGGGGACGAGGGTGACACCGGGTCCACATACTTTCATATCACAAAGTTAATTGAGACATTTAAGTTCCTTCAACTTGATTGTTTATAAAATTAGATGTGGGGCTGCGTCCTGGGAATGCAGGTCTTCAGGCTTAACCCCAGAGACCAAGCCCCTGGGTGTGTGTGCGCCGCCGTGCACTTTCTGACACTCACCGACTCAGAGACACTATTGTTTTTAAAAAATAGCAGGATGACAGCTAGTGAGGGGGGAAGGTAGAGGGTGGAGGGATTGAGCAAAAAAGTAAAAGGACTCACGGACATGGACAGCAGTGTGGTGATTGCTGGGGGGAGGGGGTATAAGGGCACTAAAAGGTAATGTGAACAAATACAATAAAGACTTAAAAAAAAATAACCTCCCTTCTACTCAGGCAGGAACACAGCAGCAGGGATGTTACCTGGGAGCTCATTAGGAGGAATTTCAGGCTTCATCCAGACCTATAAGATCAGAACCTACATTTTTTTTAATGATTTTATTTATTTATTTTTAGAGAGAGGGGAAGGAAGGAAGAAAGAGAGGGCAAGAAGCATTAATGTGTGATTGCCTCTTGTGTGCCCCCTGCAACCCAGGCCTGTACCCTGACTGGGAACCGAACTGGAGGCTCTTTGGTTCATAGGTCGGCATTCAATCCACGGAGCCAGGGCAGAATCTATATCTTAAAAGGACCTCCAAGTGACTCATCACATGTGAGTCTGAGAAACGTTCCTTAATGTTTCAAAAACAGTTGATCATGAGGCTACCCTTTGAAAAAATTAGTTAAAGCCCTCAAAGTTAGTTTTGTTGTGCAGATAATAAAACTGAGCCCAAATAAAACAGTAGATCATAAAACCAGATAAAGATACTGGAATAAGATTGTTCCCTTAAACAAAATACATTTCATGTATCATCTAGGGAAATTTTTTCTCAAATCTTCCTAATAACAGAGTTCTGACTGCAATATCTAGGTCTTCTGACTCCTTCTTCATATTTATTGTAATTATAATTGATAAAGACATATCTAATGAGAAACATCAACCTATTGAATAGTATTCTTTCAATTTTCCCTACATACTTTCCCTACATGTAACATTCATATCGTTTGGGTGTTCCCTTTGAGAGATTAGCATCATCTAGTGAAATACAACTTCGTCATGAGATTTCCTTTACTTGATCACCAAATTATCCCCTTAAAGTATTTAAAGCCTGCAGGTCTCTCTCTCTCTCTCTCTCTCTATCTGTATCTACAGTTGAAGCGACTAGATCACAATTTCAGCATTTTGAATTCAGGCGCCAACGCTGTCACTGTCATTGTGCATAAGTGGCTTCCAGTATGTACTATGCACTTGAGAAGTATTGGGTTGATACTTTCCAAAGAGCTCCGAATCAATAAGCCACCTAACCTCAACCGCTTGCTAGCTCACTTCCGGACACCCTGATTCAGTCTGCTCGGCCCCTCAGGCAGCCAGTCCTCAGGAGAGAAGCTTCCATGGCCTTCTCTACAGGCCGCTCTGTAGGATAAAGTTGATTTGCAGCTGCTCTGGGATAGCTCTATCTTTATTTCTATAGACACATCTGTATCTAACTTTTACTCTTAGCCAAAAAGAGGGCAGTGAAATGTTTGATGCACTGTTTAGGACCTTAAGAACTCCACTGGGGACCCCCAAGTGCAACTTCTGCACTAAGGACTGACAACTAGCCTCCGTGGTTGGACTAGCCTGGCGGAATTGGGTAAAGAGCTACGGTGAGTGCTGTGGATGAGCTTTCCCCAGACCGCAGCTCCCTGCATAGACTTTGGTGGGTGAAGCAAGGGACACAGCAAACCCCAGGTGCTCCCCAACAGAGCCCCCAAAAGGCTCATGCTGGGGAAAGGCCCACAGCTTCTCATACTCGTGTGTGTCTCTTTCTCTGCTCCACACACGGTTCCTTTGACTTCAAACAAAAGCCTCCAATGGGACTACAGTCTGGCGTCTGGTGAGTCCTGTCAAATACTCAGACTTGGGACAATAATAAAACTGCATCAGACAACAATACCACTCCAGTTTGGACGCTGACTGCAATGACGAGATGTCCTCTCAGTTCTAGCCAAATAAAGGATGCATTTCTTTTGTGCCAGGAGGCGGCAGGTTGTCTCTGCTTACTTTTCTCACCAAGCTTTTTGCCCAAACACTGCTCAGAGCGGTGAGAAAGTTCAACCTAAACCAGAATATGGAGCTCCAGATTTCTCCAGATTCCTTGTATGCATCTTAGCGGTATGGGAGGCTGCAAAATTTAGCCATATGTTGTTCATCTGGGAGGAATCTGTGCCTACGTGCAAAGCCCTACTCATCTAAAATAATCCGCTCTACATCTGTCTCTGGGATTGGAAAACAAGTCCTTAATTACCTAAACACAGATATTACATACACAACTTTTATTTTTAAGGATTAAAAATGTTTAAAAAATTGAGATTGGTTGAATCTAGTCCTTTTTCTTTACAACATTCATTTCATCCTTTTAGACTTCCGTTTACTAATCTACCACAGAAGGGTGTTAGGCCAAATGATCCCCTTTATTCCTTCAGAACAAATTTCTATGAATATTTCTTATCATTTACTTACACTGAATCAAGTTTGAGTTTTGAGCCTATACTCCATATTTTAATCATTCATTGACTTACAGCGATCATTGATCTAGCAAATACTAATTGACTGCTGTGTGCTAATGGTTCTCAGGGTATGGTTGCCAGACACCAGCATCACCAGGGAATTTGGTAGAAAAGCACCTTAGTCTTCCCCCCAGACCTGCTGAATTACAAACTCCAAATCACAAAGGCTAAGCAGGCTGTGTTTTAACAGGCCCTCGAGGCACTGAAATATCAGAACCACTTCTAGATGCTAAGTACTGTGTTATCTTAGGACATAAATAAGCACTTGGAATGAGAGTCAGGGAAAGAAAAGAAATTCAGTTTTGACAAGTTAAGGTGAAGATTTCTACGCACTTCCTACTGCTTATCTGTAGGTCAGGCCCTCCAGAGAGAAAATGCATACGTAGTCAAGGACTCAGGGTTGCTAAGGGAGGTGTGGCAAACAAGGAGCGAAAAGACGAAAAGTAGAACCTGTATTTTAAAGGCAGGTGAGTCGTGGAAGGTGATCAAGTTAAGGGAACTGATATTTGGCAGCAAGCAGAACCAGAAAAAAAAAAAAAAAGATTAACATTATCCAAAGGACAAAGTTTCTAGGAAAAGGGGTCCTGGCGCTTGGCCGGTGAATGTGGAAATGAGGCAGTAATCTTCTGTAGAATGCAAACAATAGTCTTCTGGTCCTAGGGCATCACTCTGTATGCTGAAGATGACCGGAAGGTGGGAATCAGGAGTTATACTTTTCATCTTATTACAAGAGCAAATTATATGAAAGCAAAAATTAGCAAGCAAAATAAAATGAGCCACTTAAAATATTCTGTGCTATCTAAACATTCTCGTTCCCCTCCAAACAATTTCTTTCACCCACAGATCATGACCTTACCTAACAGTTCTCAAGAAATAGAAGCTTTCACAGAAGAACATCTATTAACGCATTTAGAGAGATATTTATTTTTTCTTTTTTTTTTTTGCTATTGTAACAACTGAAAAAGTGTTTTTTTCTCTCTTTTGAAGTTAATGTTTTGATCCTCTTTGCGTATCTTCTCATCATCTCTCCTCAAGAACATTATCCCTATATGCTAAAGCATCTCTCTTATAACTTCAGCTTTCTCTCTACATATTGGTTCTAGCCAAATAGCTTTTAAACACACTCACTGTTCATTTAAAATAATTAATAATAACAATAAAAATATCTAACTCTTGGATATTACAAACTATTTTCTAGGCACTCAACTAAACGGTTTACTGATATTTGCTTTGCCACCATTATTTTCACCTTACAGGTGATGAAATTGAGGCACAGAGAATTTAAATAACTTGTATAAAGTCGCACAGCTAAATAGGGTTGAAGCCAGCATTTGAACCGAGGCCACCTGGATCTAGTTTGTGTTCTTATTCACTGCCTGATATTTCTGTCTTCAACAACAACAAAAAAAGACTCTCAATTGGCCACAATCATCCCTCCATCTCCTGCCCAACTTTTTTCCTTCCCTTTCCCAACCAGTCTCTTGAAAGAAGGGTCTATGCTCATCATCTCAACGTCCATCGCTCATTAAAACTTTAAAAACTGGACTACAGCTTCCGTTTCTCCTGCTCCACTAATAATACTCCTACATTTAAATGATCTGCCAATAATCACCATGATAATTAGATACTTTGCAAAGATACTCTTATTTGGTATCTGAACAACATTAAACACTAGTAGTTGACCCTGCTGATGCCCCGCGCAACCCCTCTGTCCTCGCAGCTGCCCCCTCTGACCTCGACTGCACCTCTGTTGGATGGGCCATCTCAGGGTCTCTG